TACCTCGCTCCCTCAGTAATATTCAATGCTATGGGCATATCACACCTTGTTTAACCATCTACCTACTATAGGATATCTTGGTTGTTTTCAGTTGTTTTTGGCTATTGCTATAACAATCATGTACAGGTTTTTATGTGCATATAATCTGCATTTCTCTGGATAAATGCACGCTCGGAACCGGCGGAAAGGTAACCGCCGGGGGCACCCTCCGCGGCAGCTCCGTGCACTCGGGGGCGCGGGGGGGGTTGGGGGGGGACGGGAGGATGAGTTCAGGGCCTGGACTCCAGGCACTGGCCGCCCAGGCGGACCCTGAGCGGGACTCAGCCCGGCCTGAGCCATCCCCGGGGCTGTAGCATCTGTTTCAGCTTTTCCTCCGGCGGCTGAGTCCACCTTTGGCTCCTGGGTCTCGGGCTGCTGCTGGTCATGCTTTCCCCAGAAAAGACTGTCACTTGTTGAGGGCTTGCTGGAAAGTAAGAACGCTTCCGTTGGGATTTGTGTTCCTCAAACTCAAGTTAGGAAGGAATCCAACTTGTTTAGCTTCATAATTGTTCTTTATATGCCAACACAGAACATTTTTTTTTCGTGTAAAACAGCGGTTCTCAACCTTCTGGCCCTTTAAATACAGTTCCTCATGTTGTGACCCAACCATAAAAGTAGTTTCGTTGTTACTTCATAACTGTGATGTTGCTACTGTTATGAATCGTCATATAAATATCTGATATGCAGGATGGTTTTAGGCGACCCCTGTGAAAGGGTCATTGACCGCCAAAGGGGTCGCGGCCCACAGGTTGAGAACCGCTGGCCTAGAGTGTGTGTCTAGCTGCCTGGGGAGACAGGGATCTTCTGTGGCTTAGGGTTCTCTCCATTTGCTTTGAGGTGAGGACTGGATTTTTGTTGTGTGCCCACTTCATGTTTGCTCTTTCTTATTGTGCTTGATTCTCTCCCTGTATCTGTCTGCAGTAGAACTTTAAACAAAGAAAAGTGGGAGGGCAGCTAGGGATCATCTTTTTTTCTTTTAAATATATTTTTATTGATTTCAGAGAGGAAGGGAGAGAGAGAGAAACATCAGTGGTGAGAGAGAATCATTGATTGGCTGCCTTCTGTATGCCCCCTACTGAGGATCCAGCCGGCAACCCGGGCATGTGCCCTTGACCAGAATTGAACCCAGGACCCTTCAGTGTACAGGCCAGTGCTCTATCCACTGAGCCACACCAGCTCAGGTGCAGGAATTGTCTTTAGGAGATGGGCGGGAAAGGGTGATGTCCCCATCAGGCAGGTGGGAGAGTGGCAGCAGTGAAGGCCCCGCTCTGAGCAGAGCCGAGTGGTGGCCGTTTCCGAGGGGAGGAGAGCCTGGTGGGTCTCAGGTTCTTCAGCAAACAGGACAGAAGGAATCAGGGAGCTGCTTATGGGCCTGGTGTCATTGAAAGAGGAATAGCGAACTGGAAAGGACTGTGGGTTTCCTGTCTTGACGCAATGGGGAGTTTGTATAGATAAGGGAATAGTGGGAAATGATGTTGGACAGCAAAGATAGAGAAGATTAGGAGGGCGTCTTAGATTTATTATTATTCTAGCATTAAATAAAGTTTTCCTAAATACAAAGAGTGTCTGATTTACTGGAGAGTTGCAAGATGATAAGAGGATTCCCCTACATACAGTGTACGGTACCATTCCCAGGAGGGGCCTCCCTTGAGGTGGTAAACCCCTGTGCCTGTGTGGTGGATTGTCAGCTTACACATTTTTATGGAGGACTTTTGACTACTGATTTAAAGAGTTTGGATTTGATCAAAGTATGGGGGTTGGCAACCTTTGGGAAGTCTACTTATTTGCCCTCACCCAAGGAAGGCAGCCTAGCTGAGCTGCCAGCAGAGGTACGGGAAGGAGACCTCTGGAGTCCGAGGCTCTGAGAGCAAGAGCAGTGGGAGTGGGCAGGGTATCTGGTGCCCACTGAGCTCTCTGTTTCTGATTCCGTCTATGTTAGAAGTAGGTAACCTCTGCCTCAAAATTACATAGTAAGCCTGTCATTTATGCCTCTTCTGAGGAATTGTCAGCTAATTTCACATGTTATTGGAATTACTTGATGTTGACAAAAGACTAGAAACACCTTCAAGATGGAAAAAGGACTTGGAATAGCACCAGGCCTCTAGAGCCCCGGGACGACGTGGCAGTGGGTGGACTATCTCCAGGGTTTCCTGTGGGCACTTACTCAGTAAGTGCTGGGTGCCTCTCCGGGGAAGCTCTGTGCTGGGCTCTGAAAATGGAGATGCCCGGCCTTTCAAGGCTCCTGCTGTGTTGTGGTCGATGCAGGAACGCCAGGGCAGTGATTGGTGCTGCTCACAGGACACCGTGGAATGGGAACCAGAGGATGGAAGCTGAGACAGCCTGAAGGAGGAGGGGTAATGTAATTGGGGGAAATGGGAGGAAGAGGCATCAGAGAGAAGAGCATGTGAAGGTGTGGAAGGGCATATGATTAAGTGTTGCTTGAGCATGGGGTAATGAGACTGGAAAGTTAAATTAGGTCAGGTTTTGAAGGACATTGACTGCTGAGGAATTCGTACAGCAGTTTGTGTCTCATGTCCCAAGACAAGATGATGAGGGAAGCAGTGTAGCAACATACTGTGAGCGCAGTCTCTTAAGTCCTAGTCGCAGCACTTTCATCTACAGAAAATCTTTCTGTGCCTCTGTTTCTAAATCTATAAAACAGGGATGCTATTGCAAATGCTCAATGGTGACTTTCATCTAGATGTTATATATATTTAGTCAGTGACTAAAATATAGTGAATTTTTGTCTTATTTTACTAATAGTTATTGCAAATGTGATTGACAATTGACAATTCTGAGTTAGAGAATACCGTCATTTACCTCTTGGGACCTGGACTTTGAAACTGATCAGACCAAACATTTCTAGGCAACATTAAGTCTTCTACCCTAGAGGATTTAAGACAGCGGTTCTCAACCTGTGGGTCGAGACCCCTTTGGGGGTCGAACGACCCTTTCACAGGGGTCGCCTAAGACCATCGGAAGACACATATATAATTACATATTGTTTTTGTGATTAATCACTATGCCTTAATTATGTTCAATTTGTAACAATGAAAATACATCCTGCATATCAGATATTTGCATTACAATTCATAACAGTAGCAACATTACAGTTATGAAGTAGCAGGTCGCGGCCCACAGGTTGAGAACCGCTGGTTAAGAAGTCAGCAGAGTCATGTGGCCAAAAGATGAGCTATGTTCTCCAGACTAGAGAGCTTCAAGATTCTAGACCCAGAACCCCTCCAGGAGAGTCACCCCACCCGTGAAGCCGTCTGTGTTCTCGGTCAGCTCTGCTGGGGGCCAGTGCGCGTGTGCTGAGAGCTGGGCGCCTCTCCTCCTCTCGGGAGGAGGCTGGATAAAGCTGAGTTCTGATTCGCTTAGGCATAGCTGTCATTTCTCACCCTGAAGTGCTCCACCTGGCAGCCTGAACCAAGTGGATTTCTGGACCTCAGGGTTGTGGAACCTGAACAAGGGTCAGTGGCCCAGCTGTCCTCAGAGTCACGCCAGGCCCTTAGGCCAGCTAGAGGTCTTTTACTGGCTAAATGTGATTAACAGTTTGTCTGGCTAAAACATCATGTGCTGCTTCTAAATGAGACACTCAGTACTAGTTAAGGAATGAGTCTGGACTTTACTCTAAAGGCAGTGGGAAACATTAAAACAATGAAAGAGCTTTAAGTAAGGAAACTGGAGCATCTAATCTGCATGTTAGAGGGGAAACCACTGTTGTGGTAGCTGCCTGGCAACAAGCAGGGCTGGCAGCAGAAAGATTGGTTGGAGGTGCTTACAGGAGATGGCATTGATACCTGGGGGAGAATCTTGGAAGGGGAGCTGGGCGAGTTCAAGAGAGATTTAGACGTTGTCTTTAATAATGGTGGTCCTAACCCTGGGCTTTCAAATGTAATCGTTCACTGCTGCTAAGTAAAGCTTGCCCCTCAGAAATGAATTGTGAAGTTTACCTACGTTTTGTATGTCAGGAGGGCTGAGATAGTGATGTCATTGAGGAAGGCTGATTGACCAGCCACCCGTCTCAGAATATCGCTTGGCTGTGGTGGTGGTGTTGCACGACTTGAATTGTGCAGTTCGTAGACTGTTCCCGTAAGAGAGTCTACCGGGGAAGCCCAGTTATCAGCAGAAGGTTGCTTGTGAGTCAGCATGGATGTGGAACAAGGGGTGTTACATGAACTCATTGGCTGGTGGGGTGATGCTGTGGTAGCCTTTTCCCTTCAACTAAAAAGGACATACTACCGATTTGAGCTGGGAGGTATTTTTACTTTGAGTTGATTCAACTAGTTTAATTCCCAAAAGCCGGCCTTATTTCCAAGCTTGGGAGGTATTTTAATTTCATTATTATGAATTGAATTGTCCTTTTTAAAATTTTTTTATAGTGTCCATGGGCTACTCCTCAAAAGACAATATCCTGTTCTTTGGCTGATGTCATGAGTGAGCAGTTGGCTAAAGAGTTGCAATTAGAAGAAGAAGCTGCTGCTTTTCCTAAAGTTGCGTAAGTAAAATTTAGAAAGAATCAATTTCGTCTGGCAGATTATAACAAGGTTTTAGGATTTGATTAGTGATTGTCATCACAAAGGATTAAGAAATACATTTACAAAAGCAATGCAGTAGAAAGAGCACCGTCCTGGGAGTCCACTGATGTTTGAGTTTCGGTCCGGACTCTGACGACTTTTCAGTCTTATTTTGGGCAAATCCCTCCAATTCTCTGGTTTAGTTATTGCAACAGTTGAACCAGATGGTCTCCAAATGATCAAATAATATTTTAATCCAATGCCTGTAGCTTATTTTTTTTATAGATGTTATCTCTCCTTTGATACGAATAATGAATTCTGGGTCTCGGTGTGGATTTCATATAGACCCCTAGCTTTCTCGCACAGCTTTCTCCATCCTAGTTGGTGCTCTCACAGGTTCCTGCCACTAATCAGAGGGTGCCTGGGCAGCAGAGGTGCTTTGGTAAAGTTTTTCCTGTTGTTCCTTTAGTACAGTTTTTAACAGTGAAAAAGCACATCCTACTCTCATAATTGGTAGCATCTGTTTCCAGAAGCACAGTATGTTAGTTTATATTGCCTTATTTTGAATAGTGTTGCTGAAGGACCATTTCTTACTGGAGAAAACACTGATACTTCCAGCGACCTAATGCTGGCTCAGATGCTACAGATGGAGTTTGACAGAGAATATGATGCACAGCTTAGGCGTGAAGAAAAAAAATTCAATGGCGATAGCAAAGGTACTATGACCTCATTGTGACAACTGCGTTGGATGGTAGAAATGCTTATAAAGTGCTTCTAAATAAGTTTTCAACTATTTTTGCCTTTTAAGTTTCCATTTCCTTTGAGAATTATCGAAAAGTGCATCCCTATGAAGACAGTGATAGCTCTGAAGATGAGGTTGACTGGCAGGACACTCGTGATGATCCATATAGACCAGGTATCAAGGCTTTTATTTGATGGGGCCATAGGAACATTGAGTTTTCCCATGAATCCTTATACTTTATCTTTGAAAAGCATTAGGTAATTTACTATTAGATTCAGATATCTTTCCAGACAATATTGAATTCAGCCATTTAGCTTTTGCTATTTTTATATACTTGTCTTTAGCAAAACCAGTTCCTACTCCCAAAAAGGGGTTTATTGGAAAAGGAAAAGACATCACCACCAAACATGATGAAGTAGTCTGTGGGAGAAAGAATACAGCCAGAATGGAGCATGTAAGTTACAGAAAGTGTTAATCTCTGAGAATGTTACTAGAACAAATTAAAAACATGGGATTCTAAATACACTATCTTAAATTTCTAAAAATACTCTTCATCCTTTCTAAAGTAGTTTTAGATTATAATATGGCAATATCATGAAAACCCTCAGCCACTAATAAGAATATAATGTACCACAATTAAATTCTACAATATTAAGAAAAATAGTTTGATTTATATTAATTCTAAAATTAAGAAGTTGTCTTAGGAAAGTAACATTTATTTTCAGCACATTATTTTTCGTAAAATAGCACCCCTACCCAAGAACAGATAACAGTGGTGATTGGGGAATAACAAGAAGAGAGAAAAATACTGTTTACTATCCCCTTCAATACTTTTTACAAGTTTTAGCTTATGCCTGAACTACCCCTGAAAAATCAGAAATAAAATGTAATTTTTTTTAAAAAAGGGGAAAGATAGCATTTTTCCTCTTTCATAAAAATTTGGTGAATATAAAACATTTAGACTTGAGGACACAAATACTTGTTACATAAACATATTATTAAATTCCAGAAACAGTCCAGATCTGACTCTAGAACAACCTTGTCCAGTAGCACTTGTGACAGTAGAAATGTTTTATATTTGTGCTATCTAATATTAGCCATATTTGAGAACTGAGATTTGGGTATTGTAATTGAGGAACTCAACTTTACATACCCACATGTGGCTAGTGGCTGCTATATGGAACACTGCAGCTCTCGAACATAATTGTCATGGAGTGGGCAGAGCTTGCTGTACTACCCACTCCTCAGAAATAACTGATTATAAAATTATATTTCTTTGGTTAGATTTGGTGTAGTCTTTAAAATGTACTGTGTCCTTTGCTGATGTAAAAGCAAGGTACAAAGAAACGCTGCAGTGATTTCAGATGTGAGTGGATATCTCCGGTGCATAGGATAGGATAAACCTCTTCCTTGCTGCAGTTTCTGAAACAGCCCCCTCTCTGCTCTGTTGGGTTTATTAGTGAGTCCTTGTATTTCCTCTCTAATGCCAGTGCGCTTTGCTTTCACAGCCTGTCTATGGAGTGGGTAACCTGTTTAAAGTATTCAGATGCTAATGCTTCTTTTTGGCAGTTTGCACCTGGGTTTCAGGTAGGAGATGGAATTGGAATGGATTTAAAACTATCAAACCATGTTTTCAATGCTTTAAAACAACATGCCTACTCAGAAGAACGTCGAAGTGCCCGCCTCCACGAGAAAAAAGAACACTCTACTGCAGTAAGTAATCTTAAATTATTTTCTGTTTGGTATTTTTTTCACAAGATTGGTTTTTCAAATCTAAGATGTAAATAAACCCAGTAGCTTTGCTTATTGGACTTTTCAGCTTTAATGTAATGGTTATTAATCACTTATTTAAAACCTACAGTTTAGTGGTTATAATTTGAATTGTATAGTTTACATTGCATATTAATGTTCTAAGATATTAAAGAAATTATGACATTTTGTATTAATTTATAAGTCTCTAATGTTTTACATTGACAAAGACAGTGTCTAATATCTTGAGAATAAAGTAATTTTTAAACCTATAGAAAAACAAACTAATGGTAAGTACACTGGAGGAGTTGTTTAAACTTTGGAGATAAAATATGATTTTGACTAAGCTAATGTCTGAATTCTGATGATTCTTTTAGATGTTAATTTTCAAAGACATTAGAATTAAAGTTAAAGGGATGAACTGTATCTTGATTGCTAATCTTAAGAGCCTGTTACAAGTTTAAAAAAAGATATGTATTTTGAATGTTTGCTGTTAGCACCGGCTCAGAGGATGTTACGTGGTGAACGTTGTCATTCTTTGTGCCGTGTCTCTTGTAGGAAAAAGCAGTTGATCCTAAGACACGCTTACTTATGTATAAAATGGTCAATTCGGGAATGTTGGAGACCATCACTGGCTGCATCAGCACAGGGAAGGAATCTGTTGTCTTTCATGCCTATGGAGGGAGGTGAGTGAGCAAAATACGGCACCATCATGGCAACAAAGCATAGCTCCTTCTCCCCAGTGTGAATGGATTTACACAGAATCAAAGTTCACACGGCATGGAAAGCAGATTAATTTAAAAAGTGTTACCATAGAAAATTTAGACACTATGAGATTGTAGAAAGGAAAACAGTCATCTTAATCCCAGCATCCAGAGGTAAACATAAATTTTGTGTAAACTCCTTTAACCTTTTTCATGAATATACTTCCTACTTTATTGTATCATATAGGCAGCTATAAGTAGCAGAACAAAATTTGTACCTGGGTTTGTCTCAAAACCCTGGTTTTCCATTGTGGGGCCTTTGGGTACCAGATCAGAGGGGACGTGCTTCGTCAGTCACTGACGCCTCCCCTGTAGCTCGGATCCTTACTTTAAGAAATATCAGCTTTGAGTAATGCTTACATTGTTGAAGAAACGTCTGTTAGAGATCTTATGCTGTTGAGATCTTCCCCACTTCCCTTCTGTAACAAGGGCTTAGATGAGTCAAGAACTGCATGAGAAAGGTTTTTGAAAGTGGAGCCTGTTTAAAGAACGTGCCAGGTCTATGAAATCATCTGGTTACTTACCATGGAAGTCACAGCAAGACTTACTAGCTCGGCTGCCTCTTTACTTTAACATTGTTTACAAACAAAATGTCAAAATAGATGACAGAAATTGTTCTTGTTGTTTTAGGTTTAGAAATTTAGGTTTAGAAAGTTAGTTACTGTGTACTTAGGGGATTCAAACAATTGTTGGTCAAGTCCTTACCTTAGGTTTTCTTTTTTAAATTTTATTTATTGATTTTAGAGAGAGGAAGGGGACGGGGGGAAAAAGACAGAGAGAAGAGAGACCAGAGACATTGATTTGTTGTTGCACTTATTGATGCATTTATTGGTTGATTCTTGTAAGTTCTCTGACTGAGGATCAAACCCACAAACTTGGTGAACCACCTGAGCTACCTACCAGGGCAGGTTTTCTTAACTATTTAATCTCCCTTCCTAGATGAAATATATACAATATAATCGTAAATTGAATTATACTGTTAAGTTCCAAAAGGAAGGATAAAAATGAATGTTTTTCAAGTTATATGATCTGGAGCAAGTTACTACACCTCATAAGTTGACCCTTGCCTCATAGGATTTTTGTGGGGATAAGTGAGGGTCATACCTGACAATACCTGGAATATGTTAATCTTAGTAAATACTTATTTCTTCCTTACTTTAAGCTTTGTTGCCCTCTTTCCAAATTTAATTTGAGGGTATCCTAAGACCAGGCAGATAATAACCTAATGGCACAAATTATTTAAAATGAAAGATTGCCTGTGGTGGAAATGAAAACTTTACAGAAAGAATTAAACTGAAAAGTGTCCTTCATCTTACCAACTCTCACCCCATAGATCTCTTCTCTAAAACCACTATTAACAATTTTTACTCAAATCTTCCAGAAATTTTTATGCATCTAATTCTTATTTGGTTACTATAAAAGAGATTATACTGTACGTCCAGGACCTTAGTTTTTCAGTAATATATCTGTGATCCTTACTGGCTTACATTGCCCATTTCTGTGTTAGTACATTCCACTGTGTGAACATATAGGAATATCCTTGTAAATCTACCATGGTGTGCTTTTGCCAATATATCCTTAAGCTAAATTCCTAACACTGAAATTGCTGGGGCACAGACTATGCACACATTTGGAAAACCTACTTCATTATATAACAGACTTTTGGCTTGGACACCCTGTTGTCCAAATTAGTCCATTATATCAAGGTTTTATTGTGCTTATAGTTAGTAAAACTAGAGAGTATTTGGTTCTCTCCAAGTGAGAGTTGAATGCTTTTAAAAGTTTATATTAGTTTTCTGTGCTACATAACAAATCACCACAGGCTTAGCAGCTTAAAAACAACCCCCATAGATTATCTCCTAGTTTTAGTTGATCAGAAGTTCAGGAGGCCTGGCCTGGCCGGGCTGGCTCCCTTCTGCAGCGTGGGTCCTGTTCCCTTGGCACAGGCAGCTCCTTGCAGCTGCAGGACTGGGTCTCTGCTTGTTGGCTGCAGGCGAGGCTGCCCTCAGCTTCTAGCGGCCCCGCAGTTCCTGGCCGTGTAGCCCTTCCACGTAGTAAGTAGGTCACGTCTTCTCCTCCAGTCAGCTAAGCCTGAGTCTTAGTGCAGTGTCTCCTTCACCATACAATGTAAACAAATGGAGGGAGTGGCTATGCCACCGCCCTCAAGGGAGGGATTATCCAAGTGTAGTCCCCTTGGTGGGGCTGGGAAATTGGGAGCCATCCTAGGGTTCTGCCCACCACAAAGCTGTCCTGGTTTCTAGTACTCTCAGGTTGGTCTTGTAGTCAACAATTAATTGAATAGTAACTTGTGCTATATTTTTTAGAGAATACGTGTGACATGTTTTCTGCTCTCAAAGAACTTACGGTACAACCAAGAGAACATTACAGAATTGTTATGGTCAATAAAGATAATTACATAATAGAATGCCCAGTATGTGAGTGAGACTGGCAGTATGGGATAAGAAGAGAGAGCAGAGCAAGGTTATTGCCAGTCATGGTCAGAGAAGGTAGACCCACCCCCGTGTCGGATCTTTATTTTGAAATTGGTTTACTTGTGAGCTGGCAACTTATACTGACTTAATTTTTTTCCTTCCACTTAGCATGGAAGATGAAAAGGAATGTAGTAAATTTATACCTACAGAATGTGCCATCAAGGTATTTAAAACAACCCTTAATGAGTTTAAGAACCGTGACAAATACATTAAAGATGATTTCAGGTTTAAAGATCGCTTCAGTAAACTAAATCCACGTAAGATCATCCGAATGTGGGCAGAAAAGGAAATGCACAACCTCACCAGGTAAAGAGACCCGTGTGCCGGAAGCTGGAAGTCAGCTTTAGTTGCCTTTCTATTTGCTGCAAAGTTCTTCACCTAGCAGCACTTCTGAGTAGAGAGTCCTGTCCCGAGAGGCATTGCTGGCCTCCAGTCTCCTGTACGGCTGAGCTCGCACCGCGGCCTTTCTTAAAATGCTGCTGCTGCCGCCCTGTAGTCTTTAGTGTGGAGGTCAAGTCCTTTTGTGATGCGGAGCCTGTCTCTGTCGCCCAGAGCCACATGGCCTTCCTCCGATTCAGCTCCCAGCTGTGCTGGTTCACATACATCCCCCAGTGGACTGTGCTCTGAACGCCTCCCTGCACTTCCACAAGCTGCTTCCCTCCTGAGACCAGCTGTCCCCACCTGCCTATCGGGCTGACTGACTCCCATTCGCCTGGCGTTCTAGCCTTCCTGATGTGCGTGCTCCCACAGCTCCTGTCCCACCTCTGCCCGGGCCCTTGGATCATCTCCTCACCAGTCTGTCCTTCCATGTGCATCACTCAGCTCATTGCAGGCCTAGGTAGATGTTCTTTAAGTAAAACATTCTCTCCTGATCTTTACCCTCCTAATCATTTCTTTCTGTACAGAATGCAGAAAGCTGGAATTCCTTGCCCAGCAGTTGTGCTGCTCAAGAAACACATTTTAGTGATGTCTTTTATTGGCCACGATCAAGTTCCAGCTCCTAAACTGAAAGAAGTCAAGCTCAGTAGCGAAGAAATGAAAGAAGCCTACCACCAAACTCTTCACGTATGTGTGCCCTTCAGCTTTTAAAAATATTTCCTCTAACCTTTAAGTTTCCAAAAGTAGTCCTATTGTATGTGATAGAGTAAGGCCATGCTGCAGTTTGTGAAGGAATGTTCACATTGAGGGGTGTGCTTATACCACTGTGTGTGCTGAGTCAGTTTAGGAAATAGACATGAAGCAAGTGAGGGCTCGTTGTGAGCCTCAGTGACATGGAGGCATGAAGCTGCTAAAACTTCATTAAATAAGTTTGATATAGTGCCTGCTTGGTTTTCATGTCTTCTTGAACGATACTGCTCTAAGTGCGAAAAAATTGCCTTTCCTGTTGGGAAATTTGAGGCAGTAGATTTGGACTCATAAGGAAGTGCAGCTGGGAACTAAAGATGGAGGGAGTGCATCTCCACTCAGCAGGCATTAGGGTTGCAAGGACGTGTCAGGAACTTACAGAAGCTCTTCCTGCTTCGGGACAGCAGCTGCATTCAGTCTGAGGTCCTTCTAGCGTAAGAAAATGCTCCCAATATTGTGATTTTTCTCTATTGTTGTAACTGAATAGTGGAGAAACATGAGCTTTTTACAGTCTCTGCCTGGCGCTCCAGTGCCAGTCAGCAGTTGATGTGAATACAGACGTAATTTTTTAAGACCCAGCTAGGGAGATAATCCAACTTTCTCTGCCTCCAAGAGGACATCCAAAGGAAAATGAAATTCCTTTTTGGCTTCTTTTTTGGTGGTGGGGTGGCTGGGGAAGAGATGAAGTAATCATGTACTTTTCTATTTGAATTCTATTAAGGCTGGGAAACAAAGCGTTAACAGTGATTGCTACGGTAAGGGTAGGGCTCACCACGATTCTGAACATAACACCACAGGAATCATAAGGAAATTTCTCCTACTGTGTCTGGCAGGAAGTATTTTTTAGCCTTGGAGTTGTGTACATCCCATAGCGGTCTCAGGGAGCCCTTTGCCCTTTTGTGAAGGGTAAGCCGAGTTCTCCTGAGTGGTGACCATGCCCGTGGCCGCTCTCATACTCCTGTGGGATCCAGGTGTGCCCCGTGGCCTCCTGGCCTCACTGTCATCAGGTGGACGAGGTGGTGGAGTGTCACACCCTGCCTTAAAAAAGGAAAGCTCGGTCCTGGTCTTTAACCTTATCTTGACCTTCCTGGTTACTGTGGGTGAGCATAGACATTTTAGTTGTGCAGTGAATTAGAATGATTTCTTTTCCTAAATGTCTGCCTTGCCTCCTCACAGTTGATGCAGCAGTTATATAATGAATGCACGCTCGTGCATGCCGACCTCAGTGAATATAACATGCTGTGGCATGCTGGAAAGGTGAGGAGCATGTTCTGTTAATGTTCAGATTAAATTACTTGATGTAACTTAGTGAAGGTCAGTCACTGTATGCTCTGTATTTAAATAGGTTTGGTTGATCGATGTCAGTCAGTCTGTAGAACCGACCCATCCTCACGGCCTGGAGTTCTTGTTCCGTGACTGTAGGAATGTCTCACAGGTAGGCATGTAAACTAACACGGTTTTTGCCCCAGCTGGTTTGGCTCAGTGGATAGAGTGTCGGCCTGTGGACTGAAGGGTCCCGAGTTCAATTCTGGTCAAGGGCACATACCCGGCTTCGGGCTCAATCCCCAGTAGGGGGTGTGCAGGAGGCAGCCAATCAATCTCTCTCATCATTGATGTTTCTATCTCCCTCTCCCTTCCTCTCTGAAATCAACAAAAATATATTTAAAAAAAACCTACTAATACAGTTTTTGTAATGGGATGTAAGAGATTCATGTAGTTTTCTCACTCCCAGGATAAGCAAGATATTCTTAGAAAATGAAGGGTTTGGTTACTGGCTGCCTTCAAGATAAAGATATAAAGATCAATTTGTCAGATTTTATTTTCAGCAAGAATTTGATTGCATGCCCCACATTTGGGCCACTGAATTAAATTTGCAGTAGAGGAAGTTTTTATTTTGGCTCCAAATATTTGAGCATTCCAGTAGACACTTAGTACATGCACAGAGTGTGGAGAGGCTGCAGCTGGCAGCCTGCAGGCCTCCTGGCAGCATGAGTGCCACTGAAAGGAGCTGGTCTGCGTGACGTCCAAGGCACATGTCTGTGAGGCAGAGGAAACCTGAGGGAAGGTAAACCTTGGTGCTCAGAGTTGGGTCACATTTGTTTGCTGTTTCTACAGGAAATTGTTAGCAACAGACCCAGATGGTAATGCTCTTTCTGAATAATAACTTCGTACTGGGAATAACTTGTGTGCCTTTTGACCATTTTCATTCATGGGATTTAGTGAATGTTTTGAGTTTGCAAACAGTTTTATAAAGCACTCATTTTTACAGCTTTAGAAGGTGCACACTTAACCCAGCTATAGACTGTGACACACTTAACTCGGCAGACGGTAGGTGTGTCAGGACTGAGAACAAGAAGAGCCTGAACACAGCCAGCCTGAAATGGGGGAGCTCACAGGTGCCTGCAAGCATGCCTTCCCTGTTCTTAAGAGAATTACTCATTACTGCTAATTACTGACTTCCTTATATTTCTTCACTAGTTTTTCCAGAAAGGCGGAGTGAAGGAAGCCCTTAATGAACGAGAGCTCTTTAATGCTGTGTCAGGTTTAAACATCTCAGCAGACAATGAAGCTGATTTCTTGGCTGAGGTAAGCTGAGTTGCTGTTCTCTGTGCTGGTAATGGAGACTGAATATAGCAGATATTGAAACCCAGAGTGAATTTTATCCTCCCTCCCCTCAAAACTAAAATGAATTTGAGAGTTGTCTTTTCTGGAGATAGTTTTGGTCCTTTCCAGGCTTAAACCTAAGATAAACATAGCAAAAACATTCTTCCAGGAGTTCACGGTTTGATGGAGATGGAAAATGACACATTTCCCATACACTGTATTTCCCCTATTTTATGAAGTTAAGTGGTAAACACTTAACTGGGTGATACAAAAATTAGTAATACATGGTCCCTGCTTTTAACTGAATATAGAAAGTTAGCAGTGGCCATCCTTAGAAATAGCCAGTTATTACAACATGGATCGATAAAACCATTAAAAAAAAATCTCCCTCAGAGAAGGTCTCTCAGAATTGAACAAAAACTAAAAAGTTCAATGGCAGCTAATGATTCCCAACAATATACCAGAGCAGAGAATGACTGTTACGGAGTCTAAGGTCAGAGACGTACTAGAAAGACAAGTCTCGCCTCTCCCTCAGTGCAGTTCCTGCCCCTGCACGCTTGAGGGAGCACACAGGGAGACATCGCTTGGTTCCAGTTGCTGACTTGATAACTAAATTTTGATCCTGGTAATGTAATCAAGTAAAAACATATGTGTATGTCATGCTATCATCTATGCATGTGACACATTGTAATACGTAATTCTGATTGAAGGCCAGCATTGTTAGGAGTGACCTTGGTTGTTTTTTAAAAAATGTATTTTTGATTTCAGAGAGGAAGGGCGGAGAGCTAGAAACATCAATGATGAGAATCATTGCTCGGCTGCCTCCTGTACACCCCACACTGGGGATCGAGCCCCAACTTCCCCCAACCTGACAATGTGCCCTGACCAGGAATCGAATCATGACCTCCTAGTTCATAGGTTGATGCTCAGCCACTGAGCCACACCAGCTGGGCTTAATGGTTTCTTTTAAAGAGCAAACGTTTTTGTGGAATTTTAGCTCGGCATTGAGAGAATAAAATGTCACTACCTCTCATCTTATGAACAGGATAATATAATTCTTTAACAGCTACAGGTTATCTGGTTGAAATCGACTGGATTTTACAGGATTCGTGGTGTAAAATGTTTTGATGAGAATTGTTTAAAACGTGGGTAACGTTTTCAGATACGGGAGGAAAGGCCAGATGTTTACAAGGGAGGCCTTTATTGCCATCTACTTGCTCTGATACATCGCTGCTTTGAGTCTCATCTTTCCTTGAATATTTTATTGGCCTGACATCTGTCCTTCTCAGTTCTTTTTCCAGATTGTGACCATGATTCTAAAGGAAAATATCTTCCTTTAGTAGGTGTTTAAATGGAAATCTGGTTTCAAAATGGCTGATGGAAATAGACATAAGCAAAATACTTTTTATTGGTACATCGTGAATATGAACTGAATTCTTTTCCATGTTCATATCCAAGAAAAGGATTGTAGGTTTCTGAAAGACATATATAAGAACTTAACCACCCAAATTTTAAAAAATTAACTTTCAGCATTTCTACATTTGGGTGAAAGGGATAGAGTGTGATGCATGGTGCAGCTGCTCTGCATTTATAAGGAAAATGTAAGCTATCTGGAAAGGTGGGATGCTAAAATTTAATCCTGTTTGACATATTTTAATGAAGTCGGTGATACAAAGTTCAGTTTCCATATCACTGAAACTCTGTACTTACTGATTCATTTTGAGAGAAATATACTAAGTCAAATGATGAACACTAAGTTTGAAACAAGTTGGGTACCAAGTTAACCTACTGATTGAACTATCTGACCTCACTTTTAATAATTTTTAGACTGGCCGGATGCCACTTCTTAAATAAAGCAAGCACCGCACTGGTTTTGTTAGACTGAAGTTCATTAACGACAATGTAATCATTCCTCCTATTGCTGATTTCAGATTGGAACTAGTAGAGACCCAATCTGGTCACTGAAAGTAAAAGTCTAAACATTACTTACACTTGAAAGTTTCTCCTTTGACATTATTTTAAAATGCCAAATACGTTCTTTCTTGAAAAATACTTATTTTTGTTTCTGTTGTATACCTTTTAAGAGAAGTGTGATTTGGGGTCAATACTTGTTACATTTCTTAAGTGTTTACTACTATGAAACAGATTTCAATGACTGGTGATTATTGGTTTTACAGAAATTTCAAAGACCTATTTTTAAAAAACCAGTAACCATTTAAAATTTGTTTTGTTTTCTGACATACTCTGTTTGACTAAGAGCAGCAAACTGTTGCTGTATAGCATTCTTGGAGTGTGCTGTGAACATGCTTTTTAAGAAATTAAAAATGAAGAAATCATTTTAGAATTGGTTCTTTGTGTGGTTTCTTCCTGTTCCTTATATTAACTTAGGTCCTGTCACCAAGTTATCCCTTTTGCATAAAAATAAAGCAGTACTATTTTAAGCAGTTTTTTTCCCCTCAAACTTCTCATATTTAGATTTCACTTTTAAATTACTTCACATTACAGATAGGTTTTACCTTTCCTATCGCTCAGACAGTAAATTTTCCACATAGAGGAAAACGGAAGTGGAAACTGTTTGCTAAATAAAGAATAAATACAAACAGGGAAAAAAAATCCAAAATATGGAAATAATATTTTGCCTCTCTTTAATGAAAGCAAATAATAAAATAAGTTACCAAAACAAGGATGACTGTAGGGAATTTTTATCTCAAGATAATTTATTGCCAGTTTCCTCTTTATAAAAAGTCATTTTTTTATGCCTACAAAACGACAACATGCATAGAAATGCTACCTCCTTTGTAGTCTAAAAACCAGTTTACAGTGTGGCTACCTCCCTGCCACCCCCTCCGCATGTGATTCTCGCTGTTTTTAATCTTTGAAGGAAAGCAGGGTGGTGGGAGTGAGGCAGCTGACTGAGATGTTGGTCCTGCTAGCCCTTCTCCAAGGAAGATGGAGGAGACAGAGGCTGAGACCCCTTTTTGCTGTCCATTGGGCTCTGGGCATCAAAAGAGAGAGATGTCTGTGCCTTTTAAAATTCGGAGCTGTTCGTTTCCCAGCACTTTAGTAATTGGGTGGGAAAAGCTCATCTGATTGTATTTTCAAACTTCAAAACGTATTTTTGAAGAGACATTTTTTTAATTGGCATCTTAAAGGGATTTCATAAAAATTAGAGAATGATTTAAGTTTTGTAAGTTTATTTTATACGTGGAGACATCAATTTATTTGCAAGCAAGCTTGTTTTTACTCTTGATTTCCTATTTGTCCCCCATTAAAAAAATATTACAAGGTTACATTTGGGAAAGCATTATTTTTGCTATTCTGGGCTTTCCAGCTTTCTCTCAAACATAGCTTTTTGAGGGGTTAAGATAAATACAGTAGAAAGATAAAGTAGCAGATGGAGGGGGAAGGTGGGGTGTTCATTACAGAATAAGAGGGAGCTACTACTTAGAGCTCCATAAACTTAAAAACAATCTCTCTACTGTCTTTTGGGACAGAAAGAACTCAATTAGAATACTTGTCACTATAAGAATAGTTGGTCCGACCAACAGAACCACCCAGCCAGGGCAAGCCTCAGACATACTGGTATCTAACAAGGGCCTTTGCCTGCTTGGAATGCTCTTCCACTAGCTTATCCACAAGTCTCCATGCTTCAGCTGTCTGTGCAAATTTCATCTCCGTGAGTCCATTAG